AAAAAAAAAAAAAAAAAAAAAAAAAAGAATTATACAAAAACGCAATTAATTTCAGACGATATCGAGCACGATGAAATTTTATTCCATCTTGTAGATTCATTTCTCCATGTAAAAAAAGATTTTCTAATTACAATTCCCACGTATCACGAGTCAAATATTTACGTAATCCATAAAATTGTTTCATTCCCCGCGAAAATCTTAGAAAAATATAGAAGAGGTGGGAAAACTTTCAAAGGGGTACTATCGCGACGCAATATTATTTTTATTCGATATTTAACATGGAATAATAATAATTTATATTGCTATCCATCGCCTTTACCGATTTAATTAAATTATTATCAAAATCATTAACGACTACAACAACAAAGTTCGTACAAAATCAACAATCTCCCCCCAATTAAACGCCAAATCATTTCGAAATTATTATTCCGTTAAACATCACGTCCCGTTGTTTCCGAGCAAGGAACGAGGGCCAAATAAACGGCGAACAAGAAATGCAAACAATAGGCACCGGCACGTTCCACGATGAAGATCGGATAGGGAGCCTTCCCCTTCGCGATATTAAACGTGATTCGCGAGACCGAGGCAATCTGCTACGCGAAATGCAAACATCGAACATTAATCAGACGTTCGAGCCATATATATATATATATATATATATATATATATATATATACACACGGTACCGATGTTTGTCGACGTGTGGCAAAGTGGACGCGAGCATGATTTATGAAGTTCACCGATGCAATTGTTAGGCGGTGTCGTCTGGTTGCGTGTCGTCATTTCGGCCACGAAGTCGTTTAATTTTACCGATTTTCCCTCCCATAACACGGGCCAACAATTTAATTCCACAGAGGGATTAAAGAAAGTTAAGGGATGACGCGGAGGGCGAGAGGAAGGGGAGAGGAGGGGAGAAGGGAGGCAGAGAAAAAAGGGAGACAAAGAGATCGACGCGCATTCCGTCGCGTACTTAATACCTCGATATAAGCCAATGTTAATAATGGCAAGGGAAGATATTTTCCACGGAAAAATAGTAATATCCTTTGAACGGGGTAAGGGTGCATTTCATTAACGGTTACTACCCACCGTGAAACGGGAATTATCGGGATTAGAAGTATATTTCCATTCCCCTGCGAAATCGCGACCACCTCGTTTTCCCTCCTCTCGATATCGGGAAATTAATTATGAAGTTCGTGAGCCGATCTCACGTAATACACCGTATGCACCGTATGCGCGTGTATGTTTTCTGCCGATGGACACGATTTAATATATTTAACAGTCCGCGAAATCGGTGGACTGGCTCGATTCGACCGTCGCACGTACGTTATATACGTTTAACGATAAACCATTGAGCCGTGCACGGCTTTTGTATCCACGGATTTTTGCGAAATCATATTAACCTTTGCTCGCAATAATAGTCATTCCACGCGCCTGTTTGATCGTTTTATCGAAAATCATCCGACGGTTAAGGAGATCCTAAAAAATTTTTAACGAGTTTTAAATGATAAAATAATTGAAATCTTTGCACGAAGAATTGTCAGCGAATGGAATTTTGTCGAGAGAGTTTTCTATTCGCGGATACTCTCTTCTATGAAAATGAATTTTATAAAATATGAATGTAACACGTATAACACCGTGATAATTAATCCTTTAATAGTTTAATGGCCTTGAAAGATCGTTATTACAGGATGGAACTACATGTGTATGCAACTGATACATTAAAACACATATTGTAAAAGTTAAATGAGATAAAGTATAATTGATCCTTTAATAACAATTAGTCGAACTGATAGAAAGAATATTTTATAATCCGTGTCTTCGTTACTTTTTGCAATTGAATTTTTCAAATTAAAATTCAAATGTTTCATATTAAAATATAACAACGATTAATTAATTATATATTAATATATATATATATATAATAGGAATAATTGTGCGTTACAAACTTTTAACAAATAATTAATAATTATTCTTTAACGAATGATTATTTTTGAGCCATATGTAACTAAAAAGTTGAAGAATTAATTGAAATTACATTCAACTCAAGTATAAGGCGTAGAGATTTGTTTAATACCGTTATGCGACAAAGGGAAGAACAATTCTTTCGTTTCGCTTACAGCTGACTCGCCGCCAGAGGCGGACACGTCCGTGAGTCATTGTCAGAGCGCAAAAAAAAAGTGACAAGGTATACTCACACAGACAGACGTGGAGTTTCAGTACGTCTCCCCAGAGTTGTGCACATCGACCTGCGGTCCACCGTCGATTTCGCACACACGTTCTCGGGACTCTGGATTCCGTCCCGTACGAGTGAAGTCGAACGGTTGAGCGAGCCTTGATCAACTGGCACACGCACCTTTCATCCGGAACGCACTGTACGGCGAAACGAAGCCAACCAGATTTCGAATCACTGGCCAGCCACGTGACTAGCCATGGGGAACAGCCGGAATTTGCGCGAGACACGAGCCCCACTCGTTCGTGTAGTACATCGGTCCGCAAGCGAGCTAGCGTGTAGACTGGCTTCGAAAAGAATCGAAACAGTGGTTCGTGCACGAACTTCGTGTCAGAGATAGACAGACGGTCGGTCGAACGGAAAAAGTTAAGCACGTACTTTGCCGCGGTGAGAGAAACTAACAACAAAAGACACGGGAGAAGCAAAGTGGATGGCTAGAGTAGGACGGACAGACAGAGAACAAAGATAGATAGATAGAGAAAAAGAGAAAGACAGGAAGACAGAGACAGAAAGAGAAAGAGAAGGAAAAAGAGAGGACGAAAGACCGCGGTTTCTCCCTGAGATTTCGAGCTGCACTGCAAACGGGAACAGTCAGTCCTCACTGAATCGGAGTTTGCCTACGTACTCGCGGCTGAGAGACTTCGGGATCTGCGCAGTTGCTCGCTCACCACCACCATTTCCACCACCACCATACCACACCACACCACCACCACCACCACCACCACCACCACCACCACCACCGTCGCCGCCAGTACCACCATACCGTTAACCCCAAACTTCCATGGCTCCTCTCGACTCCCGACAACCCTAACCTCGAGCCTAGGCAGCGCCCTAACTCCGAGTGCCGAGAGCTCCAAGCGACGCGTGAACCCGAGATTATTCTTACTCGCCGAAAATTACTTCTAACAAAGTTACTCGTCCGCGGATTAAATCTATGTACATGCACCGAGCTGTGGTATTCATGTTGCCGTTGCGATGTGCTTAGGCGTTCTACGTGTTACGTGAGATGAATGCGGTAATTATGATTCAAAATCGACCGTTGCGTCGCAGAAAATCGATGTAATCGGTCGTCTCTATAGAACGACAACATATTCAGCTTGAATTACAGTCATCTTATAAGGATGCGATACTACTAAAGAGTTCAACGGTTATTCCGTGCAATGATACTTGCATACGCATAATTTCGTTTTATCGTAACAATGCCGTTATACCGTTGATAGCACAAAAGCAACCACTTGCGTGGAATTAACTGGATACTCGTGGCCACGATCGCTCGCGTGCGATGTTAAGAATGTTTCTCGAGCACACCATTGAGAATACTTTATCTCTTCACACATTCGTAACATATACATTGGGAGTATTATGGCTTGAGGCTTTCTTGCTTTCAATGAAGAAACAATACTTCTATACTTCGGTTAATTAAGCAAAACGTTTGATTTCTTATCGAAAACCATAATAATAATAAATTCGAAAATAATTTTTATGATTAGTTTCTAATTTAGCAATATTTACATAATTCTTAGAGATTTTATTGTAATTGATCTTATTAAACAAAAAGACGAAAATTATTTGCACGATTTACTTAATACAAATTAAAATAATATTAAATAAATATTAAAAATAAAAAAGAAAAAGGAATCACAATATCAGGATTAAAAATCTAAAACGAAAAAGAATCTTGTTCGAAGTGATGCTTCCCAAAGTTCGTTGCTCCGTACATGTTGTCTCCGCATAGTCCGCGGAACATTGGCCGTTTGCCAAAGTCATTCTCACATAATTTCAGGAGAATATAAGTGCCAAAAAATATACGGAACTCATGGTTATAATTCCGATATAAATCTATAAGTAAAAGAATAATTGCCAAGAGGTTTTTACAATTAATATTTTCAAGAATTCTTATAAAATATTAATATAATGTTCGGTTTAACTAAATTTAGTATATGCACAGAATACTCGGTAATTCTGATCATATATATGTATTTAATGGTTATATTTATATATTTATTTGTTCTTGTTTCATCACAGATCATATATAAAATTATACTTTTGCTAATTATCTTCTGAGAAATAAAGATATATTTGCTGAAAGAAAATGATAATTTATTCTTTAAGTCTTATACAATTATCTGATATTAAATTGATAAATTTTTATTTACTCTTTTTACAATTACAATTACATTACAATTACAAATACATTTAAAAATATTTTTCTTTTTTATTAAGAAAAAAGTAAGATTTATGTGTATATCTGATAGAGATGATATATTAGTGCCATCTGGTTGTGGATATACTGAACGAATAATTTGATTGCATGTCGATAAATCGATAAAGTTATCGTTTACTTTCTTGTTATTGTTACGTTCTTGTCATTATAATTTTATTTTAATTTACAAATAAATTATATACTTTAATTAAATTTTGAAATAACTTTAAATACATAAAACTGTAATATTTCAATTTTATTTGAAATCAAAATATTAGAAATATAATCAAATATTTTACATTTGTCAATTAAATAAATAAAAAGAAAAAATAATTAGTGATATTTTAAAATTTGTTATATTGTAAAATTATAAAATTTGTAAAGTTATTTTGCAAACAATAGTAAAAATAATAAAAATGGAAATAGAAAAAATTAATAATATAAATTAAAAGTTTGACTACGTGAAGATAAATATATATTAATTTTTAATTCTGATGGTTCGATAAACAAGGTCAGAAGTTAATGTAATGATTTTAACCTCTGATAATTATATTAGCACATTAAAAATAAACTATGTAATAACGCAATCGAATAAAATAAATACGAAGATCATAAACATATAAAGACATTATGTATATATAATTCTTATACATATTTAAACAATAATGATGCATGAAATACCAAATAAAACTAGTAGATATATTGTTGTTTATACATTTTTAATTCATTAGTGTACGCTTAATACGCCAAGAAATTCCATTTAAAGTTATATTTAAATTTCTTTTAAATGAATCGCACATGTACTTTTTTTTTTATTTATCTACTGTTTACGAAATAAATTTAATTTATTAAAGATAAATAGAAAACTTTATATATTATAATATAATAAATTTTTATATGTAATAATAGTAATAGTACTTTTTGTGCAATCTTTTTTAAATTTTTATAAGAAAATAAATAATATGAATTAATAATATAAATAATTAATATAATTATTAGTAATATATAGTTATTATATTTCCAATATTATAACAAAAAAATCTAATCTTTGAATATTTTTTATAATTTAATCGCGTACGATTAATTGCATAATTAAGAAATTACATGCCATTGAAAATTACTTAATGTTTTCATAATCTTTTCAACATTCGAAAAATGAAATCAACACCACGATCTGCATGTTTCAAGGGGAAAATTAATCTTAGGCGATAATTCAAAGCCACGTTATCGAGAAACCTAATGTCAATTGCAAAGTTAATCGATGCTCTCTCTCTCTCTCATTCACCGTAGAGATACGAATGGGGCTGGCAGGTCGTTGTTCCTAGTCAAGATCATGAGATCCCCATTCCCGACATTTCGCAATGCTGGCGTAATGCCTGATCTCCGCTTCCAATTCTGCCGAATGCAATTCTTCAGAATTCGACGTGCTGCACTCATCACTCAATCACGCATTGACTACGTGAATAAACGCTTTCAGACGTACGAGTGACACGTACCATATCCAAGCCATATCGATTTCCCATTGTCCTCTATAGACATCTAATGCGTACACCTTTGTCGTATTATGACAATTGATGCAAAAATATTACATTAACGCAATTAGCATTATAATTGATAAATAAGAATCATATGTAATTTTATTGAAAAACTAAATTATACCACAATTTTTTATTATTTCCTAAGAAAAAAAAATAATTTAACTTAATATTATTTAATATTATTCATATTATTATTATGAAAAGTTTTTTCAATAATCTTTAGCTGATATTCGAATGATTCAATTATTCTATCTTTCAGTTTAATTCTAACCTAATTTTATACATCTTAAATATATGTCTCTATATCTATGTACAATTCATATAATAATATAAAAAAAAGGCTTAATTTGTTGCTTAGTAATTACATTTTAACTTATGTGAAATAATATTTGTTAAATGATTAGTATCCAGAAAAAAAGACATAGATAAAAATATCACCTTAGCTTATTCAATTCAGTTATAAAGTCCAAGACAACAATCTTCAATTCAAATTTTGCTAGACGATCGAAAATAATAGAACGCATGCGCATATTGTGTCACCGGTATCCACTTCAGTGTTAATCATTATCCCTCAGAATTCAGTGTTAAATGTGTTAGATTAAAATAACAACGATTATTAAAAGCAGGAAGAATTACATAGCAAGGTATGAATGTAATACAGAAATATCTTTATATGTATATCTGCATATATAATTTTATGTGATAAACATTATTCAAGTGCAAAATAAATGCGATTAATCGATTCATTTATTTTTCAATATTTGTTATTGTTTTTGTAATACATTTATCATATATATTTAAATCGCTTAATATCGTTTATTGGCTTACAATAATTTTTAATATATTTATGTAAAATATAATTTAAATAGATATGTAGTGAATAATCAATAAACACGTGTCGAATATGATTGCATAATAAAATATATAGAATATTAAAAATTATTTAAAAAAGATATAAAAAATTCATTAATTTTTACGATTTATAAATTTAAAAATAAATATTTATAAGAATTAATTTAGAAAATAAATATAACATGTTTTTAAAAAGGGTTAGTTAAAGTGCGCATGCGTTTAATATGTGTATAATTTCGAGGTTCATGTGACGAATTTCTTTCCTCGAATAAGGATATATTAATCGTGATTTGACAACATAATCATAATAAAATAACGGTGAATTGTGAAACTGTAATAAGTTAAATATTCAACATTGAGAAAAAAATAAATTTTTTCTCAACTGATAAACTGTATATCCTAGTCTAGGAGGTTAGAAAATGTCTCGTCCAAAGGCATAAGAGCTTTGTTTACTTTTTACTCACAGATAATAGAGACGTAATATATAACAAGGAGGGGTGAAATACAGTACATATGTATGCATATATTCATATGTGAAAGGGAAAAGGAGGGAGGGAAACACAACACCCCGAGAAGAGGCGCATTGCAAGACAAATACGACGCAGAAAGAACGAGAGTGCGCGTCAGTAGGTTTTACCCTGACCTCGGTCAGACGGACATGGTTTAATTTAACCGGATCTCTGCAAACTCACAGTTCAATCTATCTTTGCCCACTGGCACGTTCAAATCCTCGCGACGTTCGCGATTTAACCTCACTCTTTATTGGAAGAAAGAAAGGATAAGCTGTTTTTCCGGTATGTAAAGTGTATTTTCAATTCATAAGTCAAATTCTAAATATGATTTCATGAATAATTATATTACAATCTAAATCAATTAATGAATAATGGTAAAAACAAAGGAAATAAATCATTAAAATTTTATATAATGATCATAACTATTCATGTTTCGCTAAATACTCACTTGATAGATTTTTGGAATTCAATGTTCATATATTCAATAAAATTCAATGAAACATATATAATATTATTCAACAATGATAATTACTATATGCCGATAATACGTTTTTTAATAATAATAATTTTTAATAATAATAATTTAAAAAAAACAAAATTTATGTTTATTTTTATGAACTTGAAAGAAGATTTAATATATTCTTATATTATTTTATAATATATGTGATTCAATTTCATTTTTGTTTAAAATGATGGTGTTGAAACTTATTTTTAAAAAGGAAAAAGAAAACTAAAGTATTAGTTTAAAATGATATTAATTGAAAGTTTATTTTTTATAAAAAAATAATACTATTCTATTTCAATTTGAATACTGTTACATTTACTTTAGTTATTAGCTTGTATTATATCAGTTAAAATATAAAAAATTAATATATCAAAAAACTATCTTGTAAATATAATTATTATTCATAATAATTCATAAATAAATTAATTTAAATTTGAAAAATATTATATTTAAATTTTAATTTTTTAGTTAAAGTTGAAACTATATAAATTATATTTAAAACAAATATATTAATTTATTTACAATTATAATATTAATATTTTAAAAAGACAATCTTTTATACAATAATAAATTTTTAAATTTTATTATTTAATAATTAAATATTATTTTATATATATATATATATATAATTATAATGATAAATTTTTATAATGATTAAATATTATTTTATGAAAGAAATGCACCTAACTTAAATAACAATCAAAATAATTGAAACAGGAAGTTACGTCGCAACGTTTTATATAAGCGTGACTCATGAGAAGAGTTTAAAAAATGCAAATGTGACAAGCAATATAACTTCATGTTCAATATCGTGGTTATGAGACGTATCGTCACTACATTGTCGGCGTTTCTCTAATTTCCATATGCAATAAAAAATTCTAGTAGAAAAAAATTAATTGAAACTGTTGATAAATTCTCTGGGAAGAGAAACATCAAATCGATTTGATTAACGAAAGCAATTAGATTTCTTTCAAATTTCACTTAAAAGTATTATCCTTTCTTCAATATTTGAAAATCCTAAGTACGAACGGGAAAGTATATATAAAAGAGATAATATTTGCAAAAAATATGAATCTTTTGCTTGAAAACTGAATACAAATGATTCAATTTCTTACGCATCGTTTCGATCGTCGTGTGAAAAGAGAGGAAATGTTCTTGGCTCAGATGAAATTCAAAAACGAAAGATCCATGGCGCCAAAGGCTAGACGACAACAAGAAATACAAGAAAGAATCAAAAAGCAAAAACATACTTCCTCGTATATCCGTTGTTTTTATTTTTTTGGAAATATAGTAATAACCGAAAGCAAACTATACGTGGAAATATAAAAAACCAGTAGAGCGTGATACGCGTAGCATTCTGGTGGAAAGTCTTCCTCTCTGTTTCCTCTGTGAAGTTGACTACTAGCCAGAGGCGTCGCCACCTTTCTTTGTATGTAGTTATTTCTCGTTGGCCAACATGGAAACTTCCAAATATTATTCATCGCTATAATGAAGATAATTATGCTTGGAATTTAATACGTAGAAATTACCTACGTCAGGCGAGCATGTTTAATTAACGAAGCGATAATAATGAATGGAAATGTATATATACGTTTAATATATGTTTAATAATAACGTTGTGACGAATATATATGCAATTTGTCTTTCATAATAATATTTCCATTATATTTTCGTTGTTGAATCAATGAGATTTAAACTGTATATATCTGTATATAAATATTTTGTCGATGATTTTTTAAAGATTTCATTTTTTCTTTCGTCATTTTGATAATCGTTACTTACCGATAGAAGAATAGTATACCAATTAAATCATGTTTCGAGTAACGAATAACTGCAGTTATCAATGAATTTTAACGAATAATTGTCCGGTGAATGGACTTTTTCAATGCATCTTTTTTTTTATCATTGAAAAAAAAGGAGGTGAAAACAACAAGAAAGCCCAGTGAAGAGTGCTTTACAGAAGCGATTAACGATTCTGGCTCAACGACCTGTAGCGCCGTGCATTGTTGCTTGAAATTACCGACCGCCAATTGTGAAGTCCGTTCCTAACTGACAATTGCTCCACTTGCTTTAAACCATTAGTCCTCGCCAGTTATCTTGTTGGTAATACACTACAGTGAACATCGTCGTCGTAACTGGTTAAACTAAATCTCGACAGCGGTAGCGACGATTTCTCTCCTTTTCTCTAACACTATTCATTCGTAATTTATATATGTATATATTATACGTGATAAGAAAGTTTAAATGATTATTGCGAGATCTTTTATCCATTAAATACATGTTAGTATTATTTAATGTTTACAAGTTTAATATTTGATCAAATTAAGGAAGTCACACATATTTTATTAAGGTTTTGAAGATATTATGTACAACTACATCTATGTTATATCACAGATACGTATATGTTTTGAAAATATAATTTCTGTTAGATATAAATTAGATATAAATTAGATATAAATTCAAAATAAATTAACATTAAGTTATTGAACTTTCTTCAAATTAAAAAATTAAATTTTTTTTATGAATTAAATCTATTTTCAAATAAAGAAGTTTAGAATTTTAGAATTTTAGAATTTTTTAAAACGAACTAATGCAATGACAATAATACATTACAGTGATACATTTCAAGAATTTATAAATTTATAAATTTTATATTAAATGGAAAGAAATCAATTAATCATTATTAAATGAAAATTCTTATTAAAATATCCATTATTCATAATATATCATTAAAAATTCTCTTCTCATGTGATTTCCTTTATCAAATTAATTATTATGAGGATCATTCGTGATTAGCACTGGACTTCCCAATGATGCTATACGGTCATTGATCTGACCGAATTAATTAGAGGTTATCTATAATATATATATATACATATACATATATGGAACTTTATTTTCTTCTCATCGGTCAAAATATAAAATATCGTTTCACACATTGTGTAAAAAATTATGAATATAATATAAAAAATAAAAAAAATAATTTATAATTAATTATAAACTATACTATAATTCAATTTTTATAACACAAAAATTCTTACAAATATAATTCTTACAATTATTTTCGTGTTTACAGATATCTTGTATTTAAGATGTTAGGGCTACTTTTATTAGTAGCCATTCTTGCTACATCAACATTTGCCTACAATGGCGAACTGGTGGAACAAGAATGTCCCATGGACTGTCATTGTCATTATTTCCGTGTCAATTGGGTGACCGACTGTTCTGAAAGCAACTTGACGAGCATCCCGATTGACGAGCTTAGTCCAAATGTCTACGTTCTAGATATGAATGGTAACAACATCGCACAGGTTGCTCCATTTCCACATTCGATCAAGCTAAGACGTCTTCAGATGGCACATAATCGATTGACCGAACTCAAGTATAAGTCGTTCGCCGGATTAACTTATTTATTGGAAGCGGATTTTTCCTCAAATGCTATCACTCATGTTGATCCCGAGACGTTTAGGTAAGAGAAATTTTCAGATTCATTCTTCATAGATATCTTATTCCTATACATGCACATGTAAGAGTCATTGCACTGTTTATTTATATAATAAAAAAAGTAGAGATAATGATTTGCAGAAATAATTTACATTTTTTATTTTTATATTTTCATATAGCAAAACTTTGATTTTCTAAATTAATTAGATTAATTAATTTAAGAAAATCTGTTTGGAGTATTATAATTAAAATTAGAGCAAATTGAATTTTTAATTGTATATTTTAATAAAATCTATCTATAATATTTTTATTTAAAATAAAACATTTTAGAAAAATAATTGTGTTAATTAATTAAAAAATAATATATAATTATAAACTATAAATATATTTAATTTTGGCAATTTTTATTAGTATTATCTTAACAACTTTCAAATTACTTTTCGAAAATGTGATCAGGAAATTTTGTTTATTGATTTTATTTTCAGATAGAATTATTAAAACATTGGTTAAACTTTTAGAAATCTACAAATTTATTATTTTTAAATTTAATTCGCAGTCCTTAACATATTTAATTTGAGAATTTCTGTTTATTTATTTTATTTGATAAATTTTAGATATTTTAATAGCAATAAAATAATTTATAATTTTTATATTGCGTCGAAATTAATAATTTATTTTCATATTTAATATTTCTATAAATATAAAAAATATTCGAATAAATATAGAAATGTATTTTGAGCATTCGTATTAATTTTTATATTTTCAAAGAAATATCATTCAATAATAAATAATAGAATTTATCTTGAAATTTCAAAAAAATAAATCAAAAAAAACATCATTAAATATAATCTCTAAACAGAAAAATAAATTTTTTTCATTTACAAAATGAAAAATTTATGCATATTTTAAAGCATTTTAATAAAAAAAACTTTGAATTGATTTTCTTAAATTCAAAATGTTAATATACCTCCTAAGTTTTTCAGAAATTTTTAATCTTCTGTATAGGTAAATATTATCAAAAAAATATAAATCTGATTTTACAATATTACCTTGAATATCATTACAATTCGCTTCTGATCAATGGATGTTATCATAACAATGCTACTTATGCTACGCGATAAGTAAGTAGTACATATTATAAAGTCTAGTAAATAAAAAATCTATTTAAGCAATCGTTTAATATAATAAAAAGTATATATACTTTTATTTAGTAATTAAACAACAATTTAAAATCTCTTAGATAATAATTTATCAAATTAATTGTTTTTGTTATGCTTCTAAAAAAGCATTTCTTCTATGTTCAGCTGTAGAAAAATTTTGCTTTTAAAACAATTCAAACTATTTCATTTGCACGTTCTGATTTTCTATTATCAGCTTCTTATAAACTTGGCAAGAATTGGCTAATTTGTGCTTTAATATACTATAATTAGAATAAATAAATAATTAGAAAAAATTAGAAAGGAGGTAATATTACAAACATTCTAATTATAACACAAAAAAAAAAAATAATAAAAATTAGATAATATAAAAAATTATCTAATCATACAATACATATCTTCGTGAGCGCATTACTATAATCACGGACTTAATACTTCAACAGGGACAGTCCTGGTCTAATTACTCTGGAACTTCAAAACAACCCTTTGGAAGAGGTTAAGGGTCACTTCTTAAAATGTCGCACCTTGCTCTACCTCGATTTGAACTCGTGCGGTATACGCCATCTGAACACACAATTCTTCCACAATACAACGAATCTAAATAAACTCGACTTGTCCCATAATCCACTTGGACAAATTAAGCCTGGCCCATTCGATCATCTCGCCAATTTGGAATACCTGAAGCTGAACGCTTGCAACTTGACCCACATTTCATCAATCGCGTTTGCCCATTTGGAAAATCTTCGAGAACTCGAGATGGCGGAAAATGATCTACGCACGTTAAGTTGGACGAGTGTATTAGCGCCTTTAGTTCGATTAGAATATTTAAACATCAGAAAGACTGGCATCACCAATCTACCAGGCGATGCCTTCGCACAGAACTTATATCTTAGACAATTGGTCCTTGCTGATAATGAATTGTGGCACTTGGACGTTGGAAATACATTGGGTCATAACTTGCACAGTCTTCAATCGTTGGATCTATCGAATTGCAATCTGCAAGATCGCCTTTCGGAAGAGGCTTTCAAAAACGCTAGTAAACTGCGCGTGTTGAACTTGAGCGGTAATCCAATGTTCGCCAATGATTTGACAGTTGTTCTGCGTCATTTGCCAAAACTTCATAAACTTTCATTGAGCAAATGCAGCCTGCAACGTCTACCAAACGCGTTCCATATTTTTAAACATTTGGAAGAATTAGATATCTCGCATAATCCTCTGACAAACGCGTTCGTCAGTTTGCTAAACCCGCTAGAATCGTTAGAATATCTGGACATGTCTTATTGTAATCTTGGTTACGTTGGAAACAACACATTTGCTCACATGACTTTTCTGAAGAAACTGATCTTATCCGGAAACAAATTGCATACGCTAGAAGAAGGATTATTCGCTAATCTGACACGATTGGAGAGTCTAGAATTGAACAACTGCGATCTGAAGACTCCCATTGATCCCAAGGTGTTCGGTGATCGCATCACTACCGACATCATCGAACTCAAACTCAGTGGAAATTCTTTAGAAGTACCCGAGGATGGCCCCCTATTACCGACACAATTGTCCAATCTCGAAATCCTCGATCTCAGCAATTGTAATCTGACTCATCTGAATGAAAATCTCTTTTCCACGACGAAAAACTTGACCCAATTAAATCTATCCAGCAACACTATTTCCGGCACAGAGAATCTTGTCTGTCTGAAGAAGTTACGTATGCTAGAGCATCTGGATCTGAGCAACAACAGTTTGGCTACTATCAACCGGCGAGTTTTCAAGTTCAATTCACGTCTGTTATCGGTCAACTTACTGGGCAATCCATTCGTATGCAACTGCTTCATCACTGATATGTGGGACTGGGCTGTGCAAGTGAAGAACGATCTACACGTGTTGGTAGGCAGTCAACCGGCAAATTTCGAAACCGGCGCAGCGAAATTGAGAAAGAGCCTGTCCTGTACCTACGACGACGATACTTATCGCCAGATTGAGCAAGCTCGCGCTAGTGGTGATCGTCCTTCTAGAAAAGGCGACTTGTCCCGCACCCGTACCTGGGCAAAATATGTTCGTGAGTCGAATTGCGGTCGTAGTTTATGATACATAGCGAACAAATTTCAACATCCAATACTGAATTTCTTTTACGAGAAGACACATAGCAGACAAAGAAGCGAGTTGTAACGTATCGTTGAAACTGCAAGGCGTATGCAATTATACCATACACATTTATACGTGTACATATATAATTATGCGCCATTTTGTTAATAAGTAAGACTTATCTATTCCCCGAACGAAGCCAAAAAACGTCCCTTTTACTTCTATGAGGCATATGACTTTATTTTTGTAGCTGGTTTCAATAGGATTAAGATGTATCGGTAAGACGCATGTATCAAGCGATAAGATGTTGAAAAATTTTTATACGCGGAGATAACTTGACCTCGCGTTACATTTTGATTGAATGGAATCTATATATTGTATGTATTATTTCGTGCGAGCATCGTCATCCTCGTAAAATCAGAAGATGGTGATCGATCATTCTTTTAGATGGGAACGATGACCATCTTCGACGAACTTCGACCCTTTCATAGTTTGAGGGAAAATGTATTTATACGCTGGAACGTTGTACTTGTATTTCGTTGAAGAGCGGGGTAATACGTCTAATGTCGGTTGGGATGATTAATGTAACGAGGGGTAATAAAAGAAAAAATATTTATCGATCGTCGGAACAACGGGAGGTTCTCGAATTATCAATCACTCTTTTACTTCGAGTCTCTTTTGTGTTTCACAGACGCCTCTTTTTTTTCACACATTGATGCGAGAATTAATGGTCGAAATCTAAGACCATTCGTTGTTCCGATGACAATGGTGCCGTGTTTTTAATTAATCTCGCTCGACGATCGAATTAATTCTCACATTTTATTCGCGTCTTACGTGAATAATAAAATTGAATTGAATCAATTAATTGATAAAAATTGTAACAAAAGATTGTTCAATTGTTAAATAATGCATGTTAAATCAAAACAAGGAATTCATGATAAAATAAGAAAATTCTTGGAAAAAGTTTAATCTTTACATTGAAATCGAATATAGATTCTATTTAAGCATTGAATAACGTGAAATCGTCAATTATCTTCGCGCAATTGCGTGGATAATTAATACAAGGTTTTTGCATGCTCGTACTTTTGTATCTATTATTTTTCTGTTATTATGCGAGCATGTTACGTAAATAAGTATGGATATCGCCAGGTATATATTTCCATTTAGAAAAATATTTAGTTGTTCAAATTATTGTCTTTCAACTGAATTGAAATTGATATTGATCATATTATTTTTTTAATTAATTAAAATAATTCGTGATTTGTTAACACAGTTCTACTTATAATTTCTAATCTTATAATTTATTATTTATGATTTAAATTCTCTTTTTTTTATTAATAATTTAATAATTAATAATTTAATAATTTAATCTAATTCTGTTTTGTTCTACTAATTGAGGATCAATGATTTCATAAGATTTATCATTTGTTCTTATTATTATTGTTAATAATAATAGTATATTAAATTCAATTATATAATCAATATATAATAGTATATTAGCTTCAATTAGTTTTTGTTTTTCTTTATAATATATTTATTAAGTTCAATAGTTGAGCGTATTTAGATTATTTTAGAATACAATTATTTTATAATTATCAAGAGTAATAATGTTTTTCAATTGTTACTACTTTGCAATTAATGTCACGTGCCGAAAAACATTTGTCTTCTTTGGAAATTGAATTTCGTTTATGTATTCTTCTATATATTTTTCTTTTGTAATTATTTGCTATATTCTTATTTGAACCATAAAGTGTTCTTTGGCGGTGTTCATATATAAATATAGAATACTCTTATAAAACTTTGATTCTCATTCCTAATTCTCTTTTCTTAAAATTAAACAGAGGCGATTTAAATCTAATTTACATATTGTATTAAATTATAAAACAATAGACATATAAATCAGATTTTTAATTCACAAATTTACATAAAAACAAACATGAATAAAATCAAATGCCAGGACGATTTCACTATATTTATGAAATGTATAAGACTGTATTTAATAAAGAAATCATTTTCTTGGTACATGATTCTCTTTCTTTTTTTATTTTTACTGAACACATATATTACGTAGAGTATTATAATTTAAATTAATAATTTATTTCTTGTTGAAAATTAAATATAATTTCAAGTTTATGACAAATACTTATATATCTTTTATTTTAACAACTTTTTATCGATATTATTATAATTATCTGATAATTATTGATATAAAAATTGATTCAGTCACCTACTTACATAACATATATGTCATGAACCTATTTTATCTCTAATTATATTTGACATTCCTAAATGTCATCAGAATATTTTTAAACAATTTTGAAACAGAAAAAATAAAAAAGGACTTTGCTTCTTGCATATGTTTTTAATATAATGCTTATTATTAAAATGTATTAAAAAAGATGGCGATTTTTAATAAAAAAAAAATAAATATTACAGTTCTTAATTATCTATTGTATATATCTTTGTCAATTTCTAAATTAAAATTTGTTAAAAGGATTTTTGTTATTTTTATTGTATAGATTTTATTATAATAAAAATTATATTATTTCGTTTCGCAACTTATAGTATTATTTTTTGCTAATAAGTTAAATAATTATGATATAGAAATGTTATATTTTGATAATAATAAGAGATATAACATATAGATAGTAGTAAATTACTGAAACGTAATTTCTGCCAATTATCGGAAAAATTAGTTAGATATTTTAAAAAATGATAAATATATAGATAATAATTAAAAAAAATAAATATAGAAAATTAACGTAAATTTTTACTTACAATTTATATATATTTTTATATTTTTTTGAAAAATCAAAATATAAATTCTTAATATTAATTTAAAAAATATAAAAATATAATAAAATTAAAAATTTTAAATAATAAAAATAATTTATCAATTGATTAATAAAAATTAATTGATTAAAGATTTTGTATATAATGTAATTACAATCTGTTTTTCATTAAAGCATATTTTATATTTATTTATATTAATAGTTATCAGATCATTATTGATATATCAATATTAATATATCATTATATCAAAATATTATTTTTTTCCGTGAAATTTAAAATCAAAACCGAATAATTAATTAATCATCTTAGTTTATGAAATATTATTCAAGTATGTAAAATTACATAAATTACATAAATATTAAAATTATTCAGGTATGTAAACTTACATAATGAATTATTGCATGGAAATTAATTAAATTATTCACAAATTGATCATATCTTTATTGCACTTTTATATATTTCTCTTATGTTTGCAATATTATAAACTTTATTTCTCATTTCTCTAATCGGTCATAATGATAATATTTTATCACACAACAAATGAAAAATTTTTTATAATAATTTTTTCTGATCTTTGGACTGCAAAAAGAATGATTTCTTAGTTTATATATATATACGATATTATATATGATAAAATTATATGTTTAATTGTTAATTTTCTTTAATTATTGATTGTTTTATTCTCTTATTAATTATTTGCTATTATATTCTGAATTCTATTTTCATAAAATGTTTTTTAAAACAGCTTTTTAGAACAAATGCATTAAATAGAAACAAATTTATAATCTGAAATTATAACCTGAAAAAAATAATATATGTACATAATTATATCAGCTATATTACTAACCACAATTAATAGATCTATATTCTATATTTATGTGTTTTGACTAAAGAAATAAAGTATTACATATTTTATTACATATATACATTATTACATTTATTATATAATATATTTGAAGCAATAAAACATATTATTATAATATTGACATATAATTTTCAATATTATAACTAAAAAAAATTAATTATAACTAAAATAATTATAATTAAATAATAACTAAAATTAATTATAACTAAAAAAAAAATTTTTTTTTAAATTATATAATTAGAATAAACATACTGTAATTAATTAGTTTTTATTCTATTCTATTCTATTTTCTAGTAGTAAAAAAAATAAAATATACAAAATAAATAATAAATAATAAAAATAAATGAATATAATTAAATTAATTATAATTTAAATAGAAAACGACTTCCAAATTATAACTCTTATACTATAAAATAGGTACGATTTATTGAAAATAAACGATGTGACATACATAACGACATGTAGATTATATTCATAAACACTAATACGAGTGAAATATTGCGGCTTCCAGTCACATTTGTTACATATATACAAAGAATTATTGTTTGCATCGAAATTGTTTTATATAAAACCATGATAAAACTTTAATTAAAATGTAGATATAATCGAATCGAATAAAAAAACTGTTTCTTAACTTCTTATATGTCACTAATATGAAATGATAAAACAATAAATTGCAATATTATAATTATAAATAATTAAAAAAAATATTGTTTACATATTATTATATTCATTAATCTTAACCCTATCAATTGATATGTAAAACGTAAAGAATTCACTTTCATTGATAGTGATAATATAAAAGTTCAAATGATCGTATTATGTAATTCCTCGTTACATACTTTGCACACGACTCCCATATTTCTGGACATGTATACGTACAAAATGACGTGACGAGTTAGTTCATGAGTGTGGGAGCGGATCCATTGGTGTGCACGTGACTGAATCTCGAGTATATGTCTATGTCGTATAGTCGGTGCATGAGTGTGGTATTGGTTGGCTGTCTAGTAAGCTAGTTGGCCGTCCAATTATTTAAACATCATCCGCGCAGTCGCGCGAGTCTGTCTCAATGCTTAACCATCGGTTGTGTACCGGCATTCAGCAAGTAAAGATTATCAGTACTAGTCAGTGGTCTCTTGATCAGTGATATTGCCTGACGCTGCCTCTGTCAGCAGTCTGTCGGACGTATCGATAGAGTACACGATGTTAAGTATATTTGAACCACTTCTCGACATTCCGGTTGTCTACTACGGGGCGCTGCTGGGCGTTGGATTTTGTATCTACTATCTTTTTGAAGTAGTTAAAGTAAGTACTTAAGTATTTACACGATTTTTCTTTTTTCATCGAATTATTTTTTACGATTTTTATCGTTAATAAATTTATAATTACAAGTTTTTTCTGAAAGCAATAAATAAATAAGAAATCATGACTTATAAAAAAAAATTAAAATTAAATATGTCATATTATTGTTTCAAATATTTTATGAAATTGATATTGATAATATATCATAAGAAAATAACTTAATAATATAATTATATATCGATTTTAACGATAAAAATGACACACACTATTTATTTTATTTTAAAAAAAATGTGTACTTTAAAAGAATTATGTTTATAAATAATTTTTGAACTGAAAAATGTGAAATTAATTAATATTTATAATTTCATAATATTGGTAGATTCCATGTAATAATATTTTGTTTTAATTTCAAATCAAATTATACGTGACAATAGTTAACAAAGCTATTCATAAGTTTTTAACTTTCATTAAATTCAATCATCACATTTATTTTAGAGTTACGAATCTTTCAAGTATGACTTATAATAAAAAAAAAATTTAATTAAAAACACACAAACTAAATCATTAATAATCAAATTTGATATAAAAATATATTTATATTTATTATTTAATTTTACGTTATAATTATTATTTAATTAATAATATACTTTTTAACAATCTTCATATAAAAAATTTGTTTATAAATGAATTAATATTATAAATTATAAAACAAAATTAAAAAAATTAATATTTTAATATCATTAATATAAACAGTTTTATTTTTTAATATGTATAAGATTTTAGATTTTAAATATTTTTTATTATTTATTATTTCATGTTAACATTAAATAGATTAAAAAATAATTTTTTTCGGTATATTTAAAGTGTATAAAAATTATATTAAAGTGTATATTAAAGTGTATATATGTAATAATTATATCTATATTTGATTGATTTATCTTTGATTTAAAGATATCCAAAATTTTTTATTATCATATTAATAATATATCGGGCCTGATATATTATCAGGATTTCCGCGATACGAATACATACTTCGAACTCTCACACGACCCTTCGTAGTTCGTACGAGTCACGAGGAGATGTACGATCTATTAATTTGACCTTAAAACTCCGAGGCACTTGCCCCGACCAATTGTGCACGTATAGTGTACGACGCGCAATGCACGCACACCGGAACAGGTGATATCGTACTTTTAGTAAATAAAAAATAATATAGTGTTATAATAATAATAAATAATAACTTTACATTATATGATTAATCCTTTTTAAATAAATAATAAATAAAAATAAATAATATTTAATTCACTTTCATTCAATTAGAAGAAATTAATAAATATAAAAAATTAATTTGATATAACGTATATTGTGTATAGAAAAGTAGAAAATATATAAAAGATAGTTTCACGAAAAATAAAAAGAAGACAAAAATTATATATAATTAATATTTTGTTTTTTTATAATTAGAAAATTATCGATAATGAATTATTTAATAAAATATTTGTATTTGAAAAGCATTTTAAATATCAAATATAATAATTTTTTTTCATTTTTTCATCTTTATTTTTTAATGCTAAGTTCAATGAATGGTATAGAATAGACCGATTTAACAACCAATTACAGAAACATTGTGCTCGTCTACGGACATTATATTGAGCCTTGCAAATACATGTAACGAACATTTATTTTTTCTTGACGTTATAATTGTTATATATATTAACAAAAACAAATATTTCAATAATTAACAAATTATTGAATTATATATAAACATCATTTGAGTTTCTTAAATAATATTCAATAGACAGAAAAAATTTTAAATTAATTCAAACTTAAAATATTTAATATCAATTATATACATATACATATAATGATTTTCAGAAATCAAATTAAAAAATATTTCGCATTGTTATTACATATTAATTATTTCGTATAAATAGTTAAATAGTGTTTCGTATAAATAGTTTTTTAAGATATTTTTAAGATATTATTACACTCTTTTTAATTTATTTTGACGCTTATTTTATTTTAATGATACTTATTAAATATTTAAATAACGAAACAATTTATAAAATACATAACTTTTTAAAAATTAAATATTATATAAACATTAAATAGAGAAAAATAGAAAACACTAAAATAAAAGTAGAATGATATAATTATTTTAATGGATTTTTCAAAAAAATATTTTTTTTTTCATATTTTTACATCACAAATTATTATGAAATAATTAATATGAATTTAAATACGAGAGGAAAGAAGAAAAAAAAAAATAATTTACAATTATTCATTACAAGTAACTCATTACAATAATTATGACATATATAAATATAGAAATATATAAATATTAATTAAATCCGATTTATTAAAATCAGAGACAATAATTAAAATTCAAAATTTATAGAAGAAAAACGTTATAAAAATTGAAAATAAATAAATATGTTACTTGAATTTTGATATTCTCTATAAATTATCTTTAATTCTCAACTGTTCAATTTCAATGTTTGTTCATTAAACTGTTTATTACACTAATAAATTAATGAGGAAAAATTAAAGATCTTTCTATATGATTTTCAGACACCGATGCTAGTATGCGCGAATGGACCATTCCGAGAGTTTCTAGAAGAACATGTACCTTTGGTGAGGAATAAATTTTGGCCAACCTTATGGTGTTTCGAATCAAGGGCACAAACAATTATAGCCAGCATTCTTAGATCTCGAATCTTGCCACCAATTTACTATCGCAGGTTGGTAAGTTTACTTTTAACATTTGTCGATGGAACTTATGCGTCATTGATATTTTTTCTGATTCATTTTTTGCATGATACATAAATTCGTGCGTCATCGATAATTTTTGAAGAAATTTAGAATTAAAAATATGATATAAGCAAATATTAATAAGCATAATTAAACTTTAATTATCTTAGATTCGTTTTAATTTAATTAATCGATCGTAACACAGAGAGATTCTGACCTTGTCAGATGGAGGTGAAGTGGCCTTGGATTGGGCAGAAGAGGGATGTTCTGCTGTTTCGCCAATTGTGATTATTTTGCCAGGACTCACTGGTGCAAGTCAAGCGGAATATATTAAGTGCCTTGTCTCATCCGCGAAAAAAGTTGGGATACGATGCGTAATCTTCAATAACAGAGGGTTAGGAGGCGTAGAATTGAAGGTAAAGCAATACTTAATCTTCTGACCTTTTAACGACAAGTCATGATCTCATTAAGTTGCAAGATCATTGTCATCATTTATAGGGAAATATACATGGAAATAAAAAAGATCATATGAAAAAGACTGAAAGATTTGGAATAGAAATTTAGTCAGATAATCATATAAAATTTCAGACTCCACGAACATATTGTGCTGCAAATAGTGATGATTTAACAGAGGTTGTTGACTATGTAAAGAAGATTCATCCCAATGTACTTCTTGGAGCGACGGGAATCTCAATGGGAGGGTAATAAGAAAATCTTTTTTAACATAAAATTAAATAAATCATACATATAAATTATTTATTAAAAAAAACTATTACGAAAAATATAATCAATATATGGCATATATTATATTGTCATAATAATATTCTTTATCATGTATATATTTTTTTAGATTAATTTTAGGCAATTATTTAGCACGACAAGGAAAAATAGCCAAAAATAAATTGAAAGGATGTTTCTTGATTTCTGTGCCATGGAACGTATTTGCCGCGACAAAGAGCACAGAAGAGAATTATTTTAACTTGATTTTAAATAAATATTTAGCCTTTTCACTTCGTCAACAAGTAAAACGCTTGCATTATTCTTCGGAAAGTGGAATGTTCGATGTTGACATTGATTCTCTTCTTAAAGTAAGATTTTGATTATTTTTATCAAACTATCAAATATAAAAGAAAATAGAAATACATATATAATTATATGTAAAAATATTTCTCTTCTCTTATTTAGAGTCAAACTGTAAGAGAATTTGATTCACAATTTACGGTAAAACAATTCGGCTATAAAGATGTAGAGGATTATTATTCCAACGCAACTATACATGACAAATTACATTTGATTGACGTACCATTATTGTGTCTTAGTGCTGCGGATGATCCATTTCAACCAGTTCAAGGTAACTTAATCAATCGACCGACTGCATTAGTTATGCTTATTTTTAAAATGAGTTATTTGAAATAAATTATTTGTGATTATTTGAGATAATTTTGTTAATATATTTTGTTCTTCTTATCGATATTTAGCCATACCATTGAAGGAAATATCACAAACTAAAAAAGTAGCTGTTGTTGTAACATCTCGTGGCGGACATATTGGTTTCATGGAGGGTATGTGGCCGGTAAAAGAAGAACAGTATATGGGTAAATTATTTTCACAGTTTTTTACCGCCCTATTCACTACTAATTTAGAGCATCAATTATTGTGACGAACTTATAAACTAAATATCAAATACATTCACAAATATCAAATATCAAATATTTCGTTTACATTCGAGTATTGTATAAAAATTATCACGTGCCATAATTGAAGATTGGATATGGAAAAGGTTATGAGTAAAATATATTATATTATATTATGATGAAACTGATTCATCTTTTATAATATAAAACTTTTTTTTATGTTAATAAATAATATTTTTATTTATTGAAATAAAGATATCAGAATTTAGTATATGTAAAAAAATTAATTTTTATATATTTTATCAATAAATAATATCTTAATGAAAAAATTCTTTTACATATATAGTTTTTATTACATCCAGTCTTCAATTAATCGTGTTCAGGGTATTGCACATATGTGATTTTATTAGTATTAAGAAATATCAAATTTTCATATCGCTTTTACATTAAAAATTGTTCAATAATTACCTTTGGGACATTGATATCTATAATATAGATATAATTTTTTACACATGAATATTATAAAATATGTAGGGATAAAATATATTATATTTATTTTTAATATTATAAGTTTTTATTATTAAATGTTATTATGCATATCAATATTCAAATTAAAATAAATAAAAATTTAATTTCATTTATTTATATTGTATTTATGCAAATTTTGCTTCAAATTATAAAAACTTTATATCATCTGAAATATAATTTTATAAAACATAAATCTGCGAAAACAAAATTGTAAAATAGAAAGAAAAGTTTGTAATCCTAAAGTTCCTAATGTTTTAAAAATTAATATCAAAATTTTATTAATAAATTGTTAATTTTTAAAAAATAGAAATAACTTCACATTTAAAAATTTCATATTAATTGTGATATTAAAAGCAAAAATATAGATATTGTTAAATTTTATATATAGTTTCTGTTATAAACTTTATACATAAATAATATATTGTAATAATATATTGTAATAAAATATTGTAAAGAAAAATACTGTAGTATTTCAAAATATTTTCCTTTTAAATTTTTTTAATGTTAAACCTATATAGAAAATAAAATATTAATAATAAAAAATTATTTATTTTTGTTATTTACTTATTTATATTTAATAAAAAAATCTATATAATTATATATTTATAAAATTATTGAATTTTAAAAGAATTTTAATAGAATAAATTGGAAAACATTTTGTATTTTTCATATATCTTACGAAAATAGATAGTAAATTAGTAAATTACATGAATTTTTTATTCCATAGAATAAAAATTTTTCTTATAAAATAATTTACTAAAAAATATTCTTCTGTATTTCATAATACATATAATAATAATGTGAAAATATTTTTCCAATTATAAATATTAAAAATAATCCTGCTTTTTACTGTTAGAAATAAAATAGTTTTTTCCATTTTTTCTCTATTTGACATGTTAATAATATTGTATTATGCGTATTGTATATTATGCATATTATGCGTATATATTCAACACAAATTAAAGATAATGATTGAAGCAGGATAAAATACAAAAAATATGCTTTATGAATAGAATTATATTAAAAGACTTATGCATAGTATCAAATGTAAGAATGTTAATATTCTTAATATGTTATAATTTGAATTCTAAATCCAATGATTTCACAATAAATGCTAAAATATCTGTACTTTCTTCAATCTAAAATAAAAAATATCCTATAATGACATGAAAATTATATATATAGTACAAATTAATTAATATTAAAAAATTTACTAACCACTTTCATAGTTGGTTTTCCACCACCATGTCCAGCTTTAGTCTCTATTTTAATTAATAAGGGATTCGTTTGTTGCGGTAATTTTCCTAACGTATATTGTAGAGTAGCGATAAGTTTTAGACTATGTAATGGTACTACCCGATCATCGTGATCGGCAGTCAACAATAATGTTGCAGGATACTGTCCATTTTCTGGAACTCTTACATTATGTAATGGGGAATATTTTATAAGATTTTCAAAATGTTTTGAATCATCTGAACTACCATAATCAGATACCCAAGCAACACCAATAGTAAATTTATGGAAACGTAACATATCCATTACTCTACAATAGATGTAGAATACATTAAAAAAAAAAATCAAAAAATTTAAATAATTTAAATTTAATAATAAAATTTAATAATTAAAATTTAACTTACCCAACTTGAGCAATTGCAGCACCAAAAAGATCAGGTCTTTGATTTATGCATGCAGCAATTAATAAACCACCATTACTGGCACCTAAAATACTTAATTTTGAAGAAGTAGTATAACCATTTTCAATCAAATATTCAGCAGCAGTTTGAAAATCATCAAATACATTCTGTTTATTAAAGAATCGTCCACCATTATGCCATTTTTCTCCATATTCTCTGAAATTTTATAAAATTTTATAAAATTTTATATAGAATCATATTTATTAATATTGATGTTTGCACGATGTACCCGCCACCACGAATATTTGCCACAGCAAGTACTCCATTTAAATGCTGAACAAAAACCAGCTTTGTAACGCTAAATGTCGGTTGAATGCTCACATTAAAGCCTCCATAACCATATAATAAAGCCGGCATGGAACCATCCAAAACTGCATCCTGTATAATAAAAATTTATTATATCTTATTTATTATAAATATAATAAATTATTAAATATAATAAATTATTAAAAATATTTACATGTTTCATTACTATAAACATTGGAATTTTTGTACCATCTTTACTTGTATAAAATATTTGACTAGTTTTATATAAACTGGGATCAAAGTTTTTTACTTTAATCTCTCTTAATACCTGAAAAAATATTTACATATATATATATATATATATATATATATATATGTATAATTTGTTTTCATTTTTTTAAATATTATATTATATTTATATTTGAATATAATATTATTTATGAAACAAACACTAACTTGTGGTTCTTCTTCATTTTTCAAATCAACTCTATATATAATACCAGGAATTAAAAATGATTTAAATTGATAAAATATTTCAGAATATTTTTTTTGTCCTGCAAAATTAACTATTGTACCAACATCAAGAGGAAATGTTCTAAGTATATCGCCGCTTTTTAAGCTATGTAATTGTAAAATGTTCTAAAATGAATATACAACATTATTAATATTTTAATTCGTAATTCGTAATAATATTTTAATTTATAAATTATTATATTATTTCTATATTTGAAAGCTCAATACCTTAACATGTTCAATATAACAAGCTACAAATTTATCACCATCAACTGCACAGGCCCAATCTAATACATTATCAGGATGTTCTGGTAAAAGATCAACCCATTTTTCTTGTTTATAATCCAATAAATCTATAGCTATTAATTTATAATTTGGCGCGTTTTTGTTAGTCCGAAATATTGCCTTTGTATCATCATTTGTTACATACTAATTAAAAAAAAAAAGATAAGTAGTAAAAAAAAATTATTATAAACTAAGATATTTATATTGTATGTCACTAACTTCATAATCAGCTTCAAGTTTATCAACTACTTGAGTTAAGTGTAATTTTTCCCTTATTTTTATCTCTGGTTTTAATTCCGTAAAATAAACTAAATTATCTCTACAATCTTTCACAGGTGTGACAATTAACCATTTTCCACAATCAGAAACTTGTGCACCTCTAATATGAAAATATATATAACAAATGTATTAGATTATACCCAATTAAAAGTATCTTTATAAAATATACTCAATATAATTTCATCTATACTATCACTACAATCAATTTTTATTAAAACACATACATAATGAATCACTCACATCCTCCATAAAGGTTCTTCAGGAAATTCAACTACTATAATATCTTCTGACTGAGGTGTACCAATAATATGGTAACACAGCTTTTGATCTCGATTACCTTCTGTTTCTGAACCATCAGTTTTACCTTTTTGGTCTGGATAACAACCATAAAAGATTCCACAATTGTCATGTGTCCATGTTATTGGAGAAAATTTAACTTTTTCCAAAATTTCTGGATATTTTTCACCTATATATTATATATTATATATTATTTAAATAATAAGATAATAAATATATAAAGTAAAATACATTCTTTTACAATCAAAAAATCCAAATTGTACCAGTTTCTGTATTCATAAAATGAATAGTACACCAGTCAGATCCACTAGCAGATAAACCAAATGCATATATGCTACCATCTTCACTAAATTTACTGATAGTAATTGCAATGGTTCCATCTTCTGATAAAGTATTTGGATCTAAAAATACTCTAGGTTCACTATCCAATGTATCTTGTACATAAAGAACACTAGAAAAGATAATACTTATGCTTAATAATATCAAATGTAAATTAATATTTATTATTACCTTTGGTTTTGTAAGCCAGTATTTTTATAGAAATAATATTTATTTCCATATCTAGCAGGACATGAATATTTTGGAAAATCCCATAATTGTTTTAATCGATCATGAATATTTTGACGTGCCTTGCATGAAGTTAAATATGGTGTAGTAATAGAATTTTGAGCATCAACAAATGCTTTAGTTTTTTCAGAATCAGGATCTTCTAACCATCTATATGGATCTTGAACCTAATAAAAATAGTTATAAAATCTTATAAATCATTTTGCTTATAATTCCTATTCTAAGTTTGTTTTATTTTGATTATTAAATAAAAATACTTTTCATATTAATATTAGTTTGTAAAAATAAGCTTTTTTTATTATTAAAAAATATTATTACATATGAGCATATTTAAAAATATTTTATTGAAAAAGCTTATTTATTATTCTAACCTCAATACCATGATAATTATCGATAATGCTTTCATCACGATATGCCTCAGGGTATTGTAATTTTTCCATTTTTTTATTTATATTTATATGTTTTTGTATCGTAGGATCAAACACCTAAATTTTTGAAAATGTAATTGAAATTATGGCAATATTATTTATAAACAATTGTATTAATAAAAAACTTTACTTTCACAGTCGAAAAAGCCAATGCCCGAACAAATTGAGAGTGCTTACTAACTGCGAATTTGAATAAATTCTTATAAAATTTAGTTTGAATTTTATATGAATTTGCAAACATATCAAGAATTACAAATACAGCCATGATATGAATTTTTTACATGTAATATATACAAAAATATAACTTTATAATATAATATTATACTAAAATATACTTTTCTGACATCTTACATATAATATTATAAGTAAGAAATTATAATTTTTAATTTTTATTATTTATCTATATATGAATAAATTGTATAAAAATTATTACTTTTGATAATAAGCTTATATTTATTCTTAATAATATATTCATTTATTATAAATAAATTTTATTTATTTTATTTTATTATAAATATTTTTCTATTTTACATCTTATGTTATTTAACATTATTCAATATCAAAATATTAATATATTTATATATTATAAAATTATATATTATTAATATATATGAATAGATATATATATATATTTTCATTAATTTTCATTATAAAAATATTTTCATTATATTTCTAATAAATTTGACAATGTCTCACGTTTAAATATAGCAATATGTTATGCATAAAGTGCTACGGTATCTGTTTTGTTCAAAAATTTTAAATCTTATCTTATTCTTTGTAACAATAATATGAATATAGTTTACATATGAAACTTTTTAGCCAAAATTAAATTATCATTAATTTTTATTTTACCAGAACAGTTAGATAAAATTTGTAATGTTAAAAAGTTGACATAAAGGAGGTTAAGTGAGTATTCAGAATGAAAAATTTATATCACAGTAATTAAAAATATCATGTCAATATAATTATAAATGCAATAGTAACGATATATATGATGTGGAAGAGTAGGGGATATATTCTTATCAATTGGCCTTAATTAATAAAACCTCCTTTCATAGTATACATGTTTACATGTAATTGAGACATAAATATAAAATACAATATCATAAAAAGTATAAAATTTTATTTTCTACTTACATTTGTTATTTGCAATTGTTAAAAGTACATATTTTACAAATAATATTATTTTTTAATTTTTTATTTTTTTAAATAAAATAAAAATTTAATTTTAATTTTATTAAAAAAAATTTTGACATTTTTTTAATTTTTACTTTATATTAAAGAAAAAATTTACGTACATATATATGTAATAATTAAATAATGTAATAAAATTTTAGAATACACGAAATTCATAGATACATAGAATATTTCAAATAAAGAATTTATATAAAATGTTATATATTTCGTTTAAATATTTTCAATAGATATTTAATTTTATTAAAAAGTTAAAAAAAATAATTATGAAAACCTATTTATGGGTCTGAAACTCTCTGTGGGAGGGTCGATCATGAAGAGAATTCACAGAGTTGCGTTGCACTATCATGAACAGGTCAGCTGTACTTTGTGCTGTGAACTTAGATAACCTCTTTGCATGTGTTTAAAGACCCCCCTCTGCTTTGTTCAACTAGACTGAGTTTATATAACATCAAAATCCAATGCTAAAGTATTCATTGTGAATTGACGAGTGCATCAGTGAATTTTGGCACGTTTGTACTTGTGTATATTTCGTTTTCGAGTAATATAACCTTATAAAAAAAACAAGTTACTCTGGCATAATTTAGACAGTGATAAAAAGAGGTCGCTCTACATCGTTTGTTGTGGGTAATTTGAATGTTTCTTTTCAATCTCTCAGTACACGAAGGAATGCAAAAAGATTGCCGAGATTGTTTAGGTATCCGATACCGTATTAACTCCCTGGATCAAACGTGGAAGTGGTTGCATCAAACAATTACTCTTCACGATTATTTGATTTCTATAACTGCCAGTCAGTCAAACTTTTCAAAAAAGTGTTGTCAGTAGACCTGCTATCTACAGACAGAAATATTAACCGCTACCAAGGCTGATCTCGCTACATATACAGCGGTATAAAAATCTTCACAGATTTAGTAGCAAAGACTGATTTCACGAGCTAATATTGCACCATTTCCAGGGAGTGTGATTTTCATATCGGTATTGATATACACATTTGTCGTTCGATTCATTATAATATAAAAAAAGGAGAAAAAGTGTGTATGAGTGCGAAAAAAACGAAGAAAATTTTATTTGCACATGCACATTAAAAACATGTCACTAATTAACAAATTTATAATTGTTGTTAAACGAAAAGTTCAATACAATAATTTGTACATATCTAGATATTCTACGAGTTTTAATGTAAAACAAGATGATCCTAATAATTCAATTAAAAAGTCAGTATTCATATCGCAATCCACAGATATATTTACCAATTTAGCGTTAGAAGATTGGTTCTATAAAAATTATGATTTTAAAAATCACCATATATTACTTCTATGGCGTAACAATCCGTGTGTAGTAATCGGACGTCACCAAAATCCATGGATCGAGCACAACTCTCAATTAGCTGAAAAACGTGGTATAGTGCTAGCTCGTCGCAATAGTGGTGGCGGTACCGTCTATCATGATATTGGTAATTTGAATTTGTCCTTCTTCACACCGCGGGAACGATATAATCGAAAATACAATCTAGAGATTATTACCAGAGCTTTATATCGAGAATGGGGTATAGAAGCAGAAGTGAATAAACGCGAGGACATCGTTGTTGAAGGGAAATGCAAAGTATCCTTTCATGTAATGTATTAAAAACACTTATAAATACATATATATATCTATTTATTTAGGATGTTCCAAAATTATATATTCAATGAAAAAATCAGTTAGTATTAAATGAATGAATAGATATGGATAAAACGATATTATTTGTTCTGAAATTCATAACATTAATGTAATTGCCGAAAAATTACCTATATATCCTTAACTATTTTAAAATATAGATATCTGGTACTGCAGCGAAACTAGGACGACCTAACGCATATCATCATTGCACATTATTAGTAAATGTAAACAAAACAGCATTATATTTAGCTCTCGAAGAAAAAAAGGTAATTTTTTTCGAATTTCTATCATATTTTATATAATATTATATATAATAGCGTATGTATAATAGCGTATGTATAATAGCGATACGATAAATATTATTTATGTATTTTTATTATATTCATTGTTAAATAAATTTATAGTTATTTTAATTAGAATTTAAATAGCAAAAAACTTTTATACTTTTTTTTTCAAGCTTAATTTTTTTAATATAAATATATAAATAATATATATTATAAATATATATATATATATATATATAGTATAAATATAAAAATAAAATTTAATTTTTTAATACTTTTATTATTATATTATTATTATATTATTTAATAAGAACTTATATTATTCATTAGAAGAGATATATGTATTTACATCTATATTTCAGGATGGTATAGAAACAAATGCTACAGTATCCACACGTTCTCCAATAAAAAATTTAATTGACATAAATTGTCATATTCAAATGGACAAACTCATTACTGCAATAGGTTGGGAATATCTCCGAACTAAAGCTCTCATCTTAGAAGATGGTGGACAAGATCTTATTCAATGTCAAAAAGGATTTCAATATATTAATCCCACCGAAGATTGGTTTCCAGGTATATGAATATTAAAAAGAAAAATATTTAATTTCTAATTTCAAGTTTAGGTTTATTTTAAATGTTTAATAAATTTGTAATGATATTTTCACAATATTTATCAAATATTTAAAATATTATCATATATGCAACACCATTTTATGATAAAATTATATAAGGAATTAGTAATTAATAAATTTATATAAAAGAATTAAATGAAAATAATGTTCTTAATTATATCTTTATCTAAAATTTTCAGGATTGAACAAATTAATAAGTGAATTTCGTTCCTGGGAATGGAATTATGGTAAAACACCGAAATTTACGGTAACACGTGTTTTAGATATGGTCACGCGAAACAACAAAGTTCATCGATTTAATTTGACATTAGAAATCCAGAACGGTATCATTGAAGAAATTAAAATGAGATTGCCAGCTAGTTTAGTAGCAGAAGATTTTAGTCAAGATGCAAGTGTGATAACCAATCTACGAGGTTCGAGATACAATCATGAAATAATGGAAAATATAATAACTGCAATCGGTTGTAAAACTGTTACGCTAAGTACGAGTCAAAATATAGATAAAAATAATATGATTGCTACGCAATGATTAAACCCATCGAACAATCATAATGATTGTGTTTAAATTGTTGTGTTCAAAACAAGAATCGAGTTATTGTATAATAAATCATGCATAAGTTTATATTTGATTTTACTTGTATTGTTATTAATTCTATTATATGAAAACAAAGAATATATTTTCGATTATAAATGTTGCAATTTTATATTTTTACGTAAATATGTAAATATAACTCATATTTGATTTTAATTGATAAATATTGTTAATAAAAAAATGTATATGTATATATTTTTAATAATAATTTATCGATAATTAATTTATTAAATTTATTTTTATCCAAATTGTTTTATAATCGATATAATCTGTTAATTTGTACATATATATGATGTGTTAATTTGATTATTGTTATTGATATCATTGATCTAAATTTTATGATACATAAAAAATAATAAAGTTTATAGTACATAAAAAATAATATATATAAAAATTAGAACTTCATCCCTTAATAAATTACATTGTAATATTTTGTACTCATAAGTTATGAGTTATTTCGTGAAATTATGTATATCTTTCTCTATATCTGGTATCATTATTATTTAAATTTGAAACTACTGATGGATAGCGATAAAGAGTAGGTCTTAATATAACATCCCGATATGGCGGTGGAGGAGTACCTGGACAAGATTCTATCAAGCTTCCGTTACTATCCGTACGTCCTTGTAAAAACGAATTTAACAAAGACACTCTTTGAGAAACTATTAAGTCGTCATGAAGTTGTCTATGATAGCAGTATCTTGGATTATACAAATATTTTTTTGATAACCAAATATAAGAAATAATTAATCCACTGGAAATACCAGCTATAAAACCAAGGCAGAGAAACCAATATGATACAAATTTATCTGTTGAATTAATAATATGTGTTTGATTTATCATTTGTTCACATATTGATAAATTTTTATTGTTTAATATATTTGATATATTATATTTTGTTATCGATTTAATTTTCTTAGTAGATGTATTCACAATTGCCGAATGATGATAATTGCGCGAGATTGTTACAGGAAGAAGAATCATTTTCTCAAATTTCTGAGAATTATTTTTCTTACCACAAATTTCATTGAATTCAATATTCTTATATTTGAGGTATATTTGTAAATCATGTAAAACATTGTTGCAAGACCATGGATTTCTGAAAAAAAATGATATAAATTTACTTTGATCAATTCTAGCATATCTACATATGGTAAAAACAAATATCAATATTGTTCATATTAATAATAATATCATCAATAATTCAAAATATGAGAATATTATTAATAAGAAATAAATTATAATAGAATTTTAAAAATAAAAGTTAAATTCTTATGTGAAATAATCTTAATAAAATAATATCATATTAATTTTATACATCTTGTTTATCATACCCTTCTAATGATAATTTCTTTAAAAAATGCAATGTTTGCACAACAGTGTTGCTCATCTGAATCATCAAATTATTTGAAAGATCGAGACGACGAATGTGCGTGAGTCCATTGAATGTATCCAGTGGTAAATGACTGATCCGACATGAATCCAAAGTTAATTCCTATATAAAAATTTATTTCATGTGATATATAATTTTTATTAAATTATAATTTATTTTATCATAAATCTTTTTTGAGAATTTTGATCAATATTAAATTTGAATTGTTGTTTCTATTATTACCATTAACGAAAAGGATCGCAATTTTGGTATATGTGAGTTGAAATTATTATTTGATAATTTCAAAATTCGTAAATTCTCATTTTTTTCAAAAACTTCATCTAAAATATAATGAAGTCGATTTTTCGATAAGTCCAAGACTGTTAAATCTGTAAGACCATCAAAAGCATTCAAACTAATTTCACTGATTGCATTCTTGGAAAGATTAAGATATCGTAACTTCGTCAGTTCAGCATTCTAAAACAATGAATTTTTTATTTTACAATACAAATACAAATCCTTCACAATATTTTATAATTAATATAATTATTATCAAAATTAAGATATTAAATAATTTTTAAAATTATTTTCAATAAAATTTATATTTAATTATAAAGTAATTAAGAAATTATTAATTAATTTAAAAATACCTTTAGTTCAAAACTATTTAGAAATGATATCACATTATCCGATAAGTCCAAAGCTTGTACGTTGTTTGGTGCACCTGCATCTATATTGTAAAGATGGCGGCCTACGCAAGAAGCGCGTTTTAAACTGTACCAAGTATCACACATACAAAATGAAGAGCATTGTTGTGAATATTGTGTTAAAACTGTGATTTCAAAAAATATCGAAATAATTAATACAATAATTAAATAAATAATAGTATTATTAGTCATAATCATTAATTATTTATTTTACGTTAGATTTTGTAAAGATTTGTTAAACTAATACCGTAACTAATTTCGAACGTAAATTCACTTCTGACAGAGATTGTTGCGTTTTCATGCGACTCATGATTACCTCGTTAATGTAATCTTATCTCGCAATACGACTGTGTATATATCGCATAAATGTGTTAACGATCGAGATACGTCATCAAAGTATTTCGATGATTTTTCTTATCGTTTTACTTTTTGACAGGAACCTATTTTTTCTTCAAAAAGAATATATGGGATAATCTAAAATAATAGTTGGCAAAAATACAATTATTTATTAGTTAATATTTGGCTTGTTTTAAAACTTTCGTATGTTTATGATGACATTATGGAAACAAATTTTATTTCAAAACATTATTTATGAATATGTTAGAAATATCTTTTCATTAGAAAAATAATTTAACCGTAAACTAAACTAATGATAAATTTTGAGATTAGAATCAATATCTATAGAGAACAGAAACAGAATTTTATATTTAAAAAAAATTTAAACAAAATAAATAAAAATAAAGATAATTATTAATTCAAAAAAGTAAAATGCAAATTTTATCTATATCATATTGTATTTTTGATATATAAAAAATATATAAAAATATATATATCATACGTATTATAAAAATATATATATATATAAATACGTAATATATATATTTATAAAGTATCAAAATTAAATAACTTTTTATAATGAAAAAACAAATTTAATATATTGTCATAATATTAACAATTAAATAAACAATAAAAAAAACTAAGTTAGCTAAATTAACAACAAATATAATAATAAAATTTTGTAAAATCAAATAATTATTAATTAATAAATATAATAATAAAATAATTATTACATGTAAATACTTTTTTTCTTATAAAATAAAAATTTCTTTAAAACAGAATTAAATTATGATTTAATTTTTCCTATAAATTCTATTCATTATTAATAAATAATAAAAATTTAAGCTACCATACCCTAATTTTAATCTAATTAAAAATTGACAAAAAGTTTGCGTAAAAATTCTGTGCAATTCACATTTTCATTCGTAATTTTCCATGAAAATTGTTTCCATGTTAATGTGTTTAGCGTTAAACGAACACATTAATATAACACGAAGATGACTAAGTCTCCATTACATTGACAATGAAAAATAACATTACAATGCATATACACAGCAAACATAATCATAATTCTTTTTTAAAGAAATGGTAGCCAGTGACAATTAAATGTTACTCACTAGCCCTTGGCACTTCTTCGAAACCAAACGAGGGGTAGCATTCAGTGAGCTAACAACGCAACATATTATTGCGCAACATCCACGGAAATAAATCTAGGATAGGCTGCTGAGAACGCGTGGACCGCTGCCTTCTATTCGGCCTTACTATCCCTCCCCACTGCCCCTTGTATCTTCCGGCCATTTTTATTGCTCGTCCTCCTCGCCGCCATGACAAGCATACGGTATGGCACTGCAACTGCACCTTTACTAACTGCGTTGCATTTGATCGTTTTATCGGTGTAATATTTTCAAATTAATTTAATTTTTTAATTATTACAATCACAATCGCATTCTTAAAAATCACTTAGAATTGATGAAAGATTATCGTCATTTACCGGTTTCCGAAAACTGTTACGCATTGGCTAAGAAAATATATCAGCGCTGTTGTAGACTATCCACTCTACTATGTGTTTCGTTACTGGCGCCCTCAACTTACATGAAATACTAATTTGATATTAGTACAATTAAATATTGAATCGATCATAATTTTACATTGTAAAGAAATTATTATTACACAAAATAAAGTAATTAGAAATTATAAAATATCGAATTTTTTATCGAATTTGAAGTAATGAGTTTTTAATGAGTTTCGTTATATTTAGCGGGCAGAAAATTTACTATTTAGAAAAATAATATAAATATATACAAATATATATACGATGTAAAAACAAACCTTGGAAATAGCTTTGAAGGTGAGGTTCTTTGCGACACATTCCCTGAAGTTGCAACGCTATGCGAAGATATTTCACTCGTCGTGTGTCGTCACCGACCTTCTCAGCTGACGTAAAATGGCCGCCTTCTACTGACAGCTGAACCATAAACACGATTTTTCTCTGCTAAAACGATTTTTATTAATACAGAATATATAACTGTTATTCTCGTACAAACATTACTTTCACAAAAAGTAGAAATCTTATGAAAATATAAGGTATTTCATTAAAAAGATATTACAGTATGGTATACGAGCGGCAATAGGAATATCTTACAGAACGAGGTTTCTTTGACACAACGGTCGGCAGACTGATCACTCGCTTGGATTTCGTCACAAGCGTTCTCAGCTGACGACAAAATGACCGCTTTGTGTATTTAACTACCAGCTGATTGTAAAAGTTTTATTTGTAGAAACTACGTAAAACTGATATTTCTATGAATATTTTTACATTAATTTAATAAAATATGGTGATTGCGTATAGAGTTCGTACATAATCGACATACTTTATGTGTAGTGAGAAAGAGAGACGCCAAAAGGGACGCCGAGTACAAGCATACGAAAAAAGGAGAGGGCTGAGAAAGTGGAAGGTCTTCGTGAGCAAAGTGCTTTGGCTAGGGTTCTAGTCTGCGATTTTTTCCCGTTCTTCTCGTTGTCCGGGCGGACGGCCAATGGGAGTAAGTAGGTCAGCGCGCCCGTCCAATCGGTGTTCGAGGCCGGGTCACGTGGGTTTGTTGTTATCTATCAGCTGTTTTTCCCGGGCGGGCGGGTGGCCGGCCGGCGCAGTGAAAGCCGCTTGGTGCTCTGTTCTCAGTCCTTCCCGGTTGCTCAGCTGTGCGTCACATGTCGGCTACCGCGGACCTCACTCCTGTCCATATACCATCGAATCGTGTACCGCTTGTACGTTCAGCTTGCACAATAACGCTGAATTTCTATTCACTGGCAAACATTAGTCATATATTATGCTATCTACCACGTATACACCAACGTATTATCACAAATCAATCACGAAGTGCCTCGAACATGCAGACGGCGTGACGAACACAGGCAACGGTGCACGCCGTTTTGTTGATACATTAAGTTCTGTGTTCAGGCCGCGAAGGCCACCGCGTCCTTCTTCGGTCTAGGATCGCATTTGCTAACGCAATTGCAATTTAACGCAAAACTGCCCGATCTGTCCTCAGTGTGTATACGAGTGATCGTGGAACAATGACTTAAAGTAACGTGTTGCAGTACGGAACTTCGATAGGAAGGAAGAAAAAAGAGTATAACAAGTGTTTCATTTCCGAGAGTGTTTTTCCTAATATTCAATCAAATCATAGATACACTCGTATCGTCTCTTCACAAGTGTTTAACTGTTAAATCGCGCGTAAAATTGTTATTTCTCTTTGGTGTGATATTAATATATTTGCTTCCGGTTTGTTCGCGATATACGTATACGTATGTTTATCAACGAAAATTTCAAAGACGATAATAGAAGGGTGAGTTAAATTGTAGTGCAAATGATCTTTATGAAATACCAATTTGCGCGAGATACTTTTGAGAACGATTTGTTATAAGGTGTTCTATTGTAAGAAATATCAGTGCATCCTCGTCAAACGATTTAATAAAGTGATCGAAACGATCGTTTATCCATAAATAACCACAAATAATGTCGACGGGTAAGAGGCTGGCGAAACGTAGCATAATCGGCACCAGAGTGTGTGCTCCAGGCGAAGATGGAAAATACTATAGTGGCGTCATTCACGCCGTAAAAACGCCGGCGTCAGCCGCGTCCGAGTCAGGCCTCAGTATTACACCGAAGACTCGTTATTCCGTACGCTTCGATTCCGTGCCTGGCGGTCGTCCGCCAAGTCCCAGCACCGAATACTCTGATCGCGACCTGATCGGACCAGGCTTCGGTTCCGTCACCAGCGCACGCCTCGTGCCCGGCCAGAAGGTCTATTTGACGTATAACGGACGAGAAATTCACGCGGAGGTCACGCAACATCGTGAACATCAAGACGAAGTGGATGTTATAATTGCACCGAATGGTCAAGAGGTGAGTTTTTTTTTTTTATTTTTTCTCTTTTCTTTCTTTTTTTTCTTTCGTTTAATTTTATGTTTGTGTAATTGTATATATTTCGAGGAAATGATCGTCTTCTCAGAGTTTTCGAAATAACCTTCAGACGATGGATATACGAATGATGCAGCTATTTTTAAATTTAAATTTTTATAATTTTTTTAATATTTAACAATTGTTATTTTTATTATTTTTTGGAATTATGTTAGTGAATTATTTATAATTCGTTAATTTTTAACATTATAAATTTAATTTTCGCTCAACTGAAATGAAAAAATTAATTTTTATATTGTTAAGTCGAATTAAAAGGAATATAAAATAAAAGAATTGAGAAAATACAAGATATATATACAATATAAAGAAAATATAATAAAAGAAAGGAATAGAATAAAAGTTTTACTTTCATTCATATTTACATACATATAGTATATTTTTTTCTCATTCGTATAACTCATTGCCTTGGTTAAAGAGAAAACGAACAAAGCATCTATGAGTAAGACATGTTAGGCATAACGAGGTTTGATACGTCATCCGTACCGCCGCCGGGTCTCGTTGCATCGGAGCACAGGTTAGCGCGCATCAAACGCGGTCTATGCGCATGCGCGTATCCAGCTTGTTCGTGTTCACGGCGTGTTTTCAGAGACCGAGAAAAACGCGTTCTCGCGCGCGATAACACGCCATTGCCAGTATCGATGACATGCTTGACGAATTGCAGCAACTGTTCATTGTTACTTACGCTACTTATTTTAAGCTACAGACAACATATTTTTGACAGGTAAGAGCAAAAAAAATGAATGTGGTATTATATGATAGCCGGCTGTTGCTGGGTGGGTGTGTGTATGCATGCTGTTAATCAGAAAATTTAATTTTCGTGACCTCGTTTTACAAGCGAACTATATAGTGGCTGTCCTATTTACGCGACGCGCATGAGCAGCAATACTCATTTCCTTTGTCTTTGAACATAGACAGGGTTAGAAGCGATAAATGCATTAGCTTACATCGTTCTGTCTGGACATGAATGTCGCGTTGCGAAGCGTCATATGTGCATTTGAAATCTATTTTTTTAACTACCGATGAACTAATCGATTGATAATCAAATATTTGAAAATAATAACAATATCTGTTTATAACTAGATAAGGGAATGAGAGGAAAGAACAGTGTAATTTTTAAACAACGAATAACAGATTAATAGAAGAAAATGCCTGTGTCTCGTAGCGCATCCGCCGCCCGATATTGGAGTCACACGATACATGAGAGTCGGTGCCAGTTCGTCGATTTTCGACACGCCTTTCTCGAGTTACGACCAGATAGAATTCGCGAAGTGGTGAGTGCGCGCGCGCGCACGCGCATGCACATATACATGTGCGTATAATTGTATTGAAAGGCATAAGAATTTTTTGCAGATTCGTAGAAAAGCATAGCAATGCAACGTAATAAATACCCCATAAAACGAGGGATAGCGTTATTACGGTCGGTCAGGCGTGGCAGAGAAATATACGTAGTCTCGATACCGCTACGTGGGCGCGGTTAGATTCGTAATGAGAGGCACTGGCATGAGCTAGGCTGCTTGTTCGTAAAGCGAGACTCTTTTAAGTGAGTGTATGCGTGCATGGACGCAGGAGAGGTCGGTTTTATGCGCGAAGTGAGTACGGTAGTACTGGCCCGTGCACCGGCTATTCCAACAGGGGGGAGGGGAGGGTGACCCCACGTGGAACGCATTAGCGCAATATCTTTCTACCTCCGTTAGGTAGCTCAGGCGTGACCACGGTTCCATTTCGTGGAAACTTTGTTGCGCACGCGCGCATGCTACACGCGGGGGAAAAATGAACCGGATCTGGTCGGTCCGAAGTGTCCGGTTCCGATATTTTTATGCCCAGCAATCGTTATCTGTTTTACAGGAAATTGGTTTGCTTCTTTATAATAATAGACATTTTTATCTAACCTGAAATCAATCATATCAGTTTAAAATAAATATTATTTAAAATTGAATGTTTTTAATTGAAATTGTTTATCAATTATTTATCATAATTTTTTGAAATTATAAATTTTAAAATTTATATATTTTCCTAAAACAGTTTCTTAAAAAAATAACAAAGAAATATAAAAACTGATAAAAAATAAAGTTGATTATATATATATATATATATATATATATAAATATAAATGATCTTTTGAAACGTTTATTCTTATTTGATACTTATATATATATATAAAATTTCTCTTATATTGAGTAAAACTTTAAGAGGTTAAGTTTGTAGAAAATTTCGATTTTAAAGAAAAGAAAATTTTTTTGTCACAATAAAATTTTCTTTAATATTTAAATAAAATTACAAAAATGAAAATGAAAGTATGAGTGAAAATCATGTATATTTTTGATCATAATAAATACGACAATATCTAATTATCATTACACATTTATCTTGATTATTTCGCTCACGATTACAATTAATTTTAAATTTCCGTAATGAAATATACGTAACAATCTTATTTTTCATATTCTTTCTTTCCTTAATTCATATAATCATGTAATCTTTAATCGCTATAATTAATGCATTGATAGAATATTCTGACGCAAGAATTTCTTCGCATCGTTACCTGTTTACATATGCAACACATACGCAAACGTATGGCTGACTTTTAGTGACGTCGAAGGTTACCGAAGCGTGAATCGGTAAATACTGGACGGCGTTTATCTGTAGCGTAAGTACGCGTAAGTGGTAATTTTAAAGCTTCCGTACGTTCTGTCGACCATCGTGTACCTTTGCTTTAGCAAACATCTTGCATACGTAGTTTCGTAACGTCCACTTCACGATTCGACATTTCAACGATTGACTGGTTAGTCTTGACAATAAGTCAATAGATATGGTATCCAACTATCACCTTTGTTCACATCATTCAAGTATTGTCCATTACTGGACTTATTTTTCATTTAAAATTGAAAATTGAAAATGTTATGAAAATTTGCAAATCAAGAGACAAAAGTTATAATCTTTATACATATATTCTTTTTAAAGTATTTAAACTCTTCTTTGATTTATAGTTTAAATTTTTAAACTTAACAATTAAAATTAGAATTTTTTTAATTTAAGATTTAAAATTCTTTTCTAAAATATTTGAATTAATAGATAATTGTTATCATTTTTAACTTGTATTAAGGAAATTATAAAATTAAATATATTTATTTATTAAAATTAAATATATTAAATATTCATGAGATTGTAATAATTACTCTGAGTACATTATAATTAATTAATAATTAATTAAATATACACTTTTCTTTTCTTTCTTTTGTAAAAATGATAAACTTTATACTCAATTTAAATGAAAAAATATTATAACATTTGTTATATATGTTATATGTTTTCAGTAAAAAGTCGACTTACAAATACATATTGTATATTTCATCTAAATATATTCAAATATATATAACTCTTTTATCTCAAAGATAGTATTTGCTTTTTGAATTTTATTTTATTTTCATTGGGTTCTAACAATCTTATTAAACTGATATAATCATGCAATAAAATAGATTTTTTACAAATTCTCGTAGTTATATTAATATATTTCATGGTCATAATCGTTAAATCACTTTTTTGTTAAATTATCCAATTCTAATTACTTTCAAAACAACATAATTAACATCGAACAGACACGATAGTCTACAAAAGTTGAGAATCGCTGTGACAAAAAGATAGTATAACATTGTATGTGGTAATGCGTTCCACGATGGGAATGCGTTTCGCCGCTAACGGCGCGATCCATCGACTCTATCTACGGTCACCACGGAAATATCCGACCCGCGGGGCGCATTCGAAATAATAGCCGCGTTTAACGGTGTCACTGGTCACCGGCACGGGCGTGAGACGATTGAGTAAGAGATGGTCGATATATGTGTATACGTACACGCAGCGCCCTCGCGCTCTATGCATGGATCCAAAGATAGATATCCCGGCATCAACGTACCAAACTTAACTGGCCCGACTTTATATACATACAAACGCAACAAACCATTCGCGATGTAAACAAATGTCGGTATGCGTACAAGCTTATCCAATAAGCTGACATAGTCACGAGGATATTTCCTTCCGTATCACGCGATCATTTGTACTATTTTGCTATTTCCGGTAAATGCGCATTTTATTTTCGATGCGTTTTTTTCTCTTTCGTTTCTTGTCGATTACGTGCTTAAGGAATTCAGAACATTTCATTCTTCTGTTGTAGAAAAGAAACTATCCATCTAATAATTGGCGATAGCTCGATAAGATCCGCGATAATAATTCATTGCTCTAGTTGCTTAGATAGCAAGCAGCAGGTGGTTAATCTCTCTCGATCCCTCTAACCTCGTCTCTTTTCGTTGTGCTCGTTCGATTCGAGGTTACGAACTCGACCGAGGGAAACTGATCGTAAAGGGAGTTTGATTGACTATGTGGTATTTTTATCTGGCGTATTTCAGATGCCATCATTGTTTACGGTTTAATTAAAGAATATGAATATGTCGTAAATCAGTGATAAGTTTTAGACTATTATTAATTTTTGCATAATCGATTGATTAAAATACGAAGTTTTATTATTCAAGATTTTTAAAATTTTTATTGTATAGTTTTAAAAATGTGTTACTAAAATAAGTAATCAAACATAAAAAAGAGATTTGTGAAATATAATAGTAATAAAATCGTATTTTCTTGTTTCATGAGTTGATTTTCTTTGCCTATTTTTAATTTGCGTAACACTGCGCATCGGCGTGCCGGCTTGAGACGCTGCGCATGCGCATATGGGCTATTTAAAATAGTATTCGAACAGGCCGGAATCTATAGTGCGTGTTCTGTTGCACGAGATTATGTCATACGTGCTTGTACCACTTTGCCAGTAAATAGGTTACGCAAGATGGATCACGGATGGCCACTCTGCACAAGTATTAACTTATAGTCACGAGCCGGCCGGCCGGCGCGGCGTCTCTATTACTGTCTATGAAAGTGCT